ATGTGTGTCAGAGTAGAACAGTGCTCCATAGCGTTTTCAATGGTCATTTTTCAGAAGGAGATCTCCAGGCCTTTCTTCCCAGACACCTCTGGGTGGACTCAAACCTCTAACCTTTTAGTTAGCAGTTAAGCACGTTAACCGTTTGCACCACCCAGGGACTCTGCCTGCAAACCTAGTATGTGCAAACTCCACTCTTCCCTACACACCAAAAATAAAATAAAATAAAATCCACCTCACTTTTAGGAAAGGATAACTCATTCTCATTAAGGTGTAAATGACAAAGCTACATTATCCCATGCAAAAGCATCTGCCCTTTAACCAAGAGCAAAGCCTTAAGACAAATAATAAAACTTTAAGGACAGAATTTCAGGTATCAGTGAGCTGGTAGAAGGGAGTGTTTGAGGATGACTAAGGGTGTCTTCCCCTCAAAAAAACACACTTTGTAGGTGGCCACTTACTGTATCTAACCCCCAAAAGCTATTGTGTTTTTATCACCATTTTTTGCCCACTGCCCACCATGAGCCCTGGTGGCACCGTGGTTAAGAGCTCTGCTGTTAACTAAAAGGTCAGCAGTGGGAATCTACCAGCTGCTCCTTGGAAACCCTATGGGGCAGTTCTACTCTGTCCTATAGGGTCACTATAAGCCAGAATCAACTCGATGGCAACAGGTACAGGCCACACATACTGCAGGTGCCCAATAAATGTCTAATGCACAAATCAGTGGCAACAGGCACTCTGGTAGGAGGAGAGAGGCCTGTCCTTTGCCTGTAGCAGATCTGAGAGGAAAACCAAGTCCTTCCTAACCCTTCACCAATGACTCATCATAATCAACTAACACTGACTAAGCACCTACCCATGGGCCAAGGGCACCTCCCCAAATTGACTCATCTACTAATCAATCAGTTGAAGTCTCATTCATTCATTCATTCAGCAAGCCACTGTTGAGCACCAGCAGTGTGCTGACACTGCCTCCAAAGATGAAGACAGCACAACCTTGGTCCTTAAGGAGCTGCCTGTAGCACTGCAGGACCCGTGCACAGGAACCCCGTGGCGGGGGAAAAACTTCCCAGGGAAGGGAGGGAAAGCTCGGGTTTCCTAGAGAAAATCCACCGGCTCGTGGGTTGGGATGATTCAGCAAAAGCCTCCCAGGATTTGGAGGAACAAGAGACTCTGAATAGTCAGGAGGGCTTCTCTTCCTGGACCCCTTCCTCCGGGGGCTTCCTTCCACACTCACCACTCCCGTTACCTGCTCTGTGCCTCACAAGACTTAGGGCAAGGGGGTCATTATGCCCGTTTCATGGATGAAGAAACTGAGGGCCCGAGACCTGCAGCAATTGCACACGGACCCCACTAGGAATAAGTGGGACTAGAAGTCTGTCTCCAAGCCTCATCCTCTCTCTCCTAGGTCTCACAGCTGCCTGAAAGGATCTGCCTTCCCGCACCTCTCGCCAGTCTTGTTTTGGTCAAGGGTGATTTCACCACTACCATCACCAACTTCCTCCCCATGACTGACATTTACTGGGCACTTACTCCTGGCCAGGCTCAGTACGAAGCACTTTGTAAGCATTAACTCTTACAATTCTGACAACAACTCCATTATTATCCCCACTTTACAGATGGGGAAGTTGAGGCACATAGGAGTTCAAGTCACAACTAGGAAGTGATAGAGCTAGGGTTCAAATGCAAACCTATTTCCAGAGCCTGTGCTCTTAACCACTAACTACACTGCACTACCTTAATACACTAACAGAGAAAAGAGGCTCAGAGAGGTTAAGGGACGGGCCTGAAATCACACAGCAAGGGAGCAGTGAAGTCAGAATTCAAACTCGGGTCTAGCTACTCCCACACTGCAACCCCCAGAGGCTCAACCAGGGTGCGAAGAGGAAGGAGAGGTGCTATTTCTGTGGCATCTTCTTCAATCTCCCAGCACATCAAACTCTCCATTCTGGGTGGCAGCTGAATAATTTAAACTAGTTGGCTCCAGCCCACCACCACTGGGTCCCAGCTTTATTTTTATCCCAGGTTACAGCCACAGCTCTCAACAGAAATAAACCACACTGTTTGCTTCAAGTCAACTCTTGACTTGTCTGTGTTTACGACCAGCTCCCCACTAGAAGGGGATAAAGAGCAGAAGACAGAGCCATTTGTCATGGTGGTTTTTATTAGAAAGTCGCAAGCCTCCCCATTTCCCGTATGGAAAGACGGCGGAGAGCATTAAATAAAGAGTAAATAGCACATCCTACAAGCAAACCCCAGAGCATCCACCCTGGCCTGATGCACTTCCTTGGACCAGGCAGCCAGGATGCTTCTTGCTAGGTAGAAGAGAAAAGGCAGAGCCAGCCGCAGGGACTGGCTTTCCAAGCCACCCTTTTGGAATTCCAGAATCTCTGGCCACCTCAAGCATGGCTGGAGAGGGGGTGCTGGCTAGCCTCCCTCGCACCCATGCTGGGGTGGAGGAGTGGGGACTTCCTGGACCAGGAGTGACGAGACAAGGCTGTGGTCTTCTCTTCTTAGCTGGGGCAGACGCTCACACACAGGACCAGGGGTCATGATGGTGGGTTCTTACGTTGCTGTGCCCTGACTTACTGTGTGGTCTTGGGCAAGTTGCTTCCCCTCTCTGGGTCCCCTGAAGGAGTTAGACTAGGTCAGAGGTTCTGAACCTGGGGTGCTCAGATAGGCTTTAGAGAGGGCCCATGAACCCCCTGATGTTGTGTGTTTATGTCTATATACATATTTTCAAAGAGGAGGCTCTCACCTCCCCTGAGGAAAGTCTCTATGGGGCCTTGAAGTACTGCAGAATCTGTACGTGTATTCATCCAAGCCAAGTAAAGCAGGTCCCTTTCCAGACGAGCACGGAGTTCTAGGACCCCCATCCTAATTCACCCCAGCACGGCCTCCCCAACGCACATAAGTTCCCAAATACAGTGCTAACCCTTCCTAGAAGTATGTATTCTGCGTGCACACATACACACACACCCCTATGATACAGTTGTAGAACCTCAGAGCTGGAAGGGGCCTTGGGGTCACCTAAACCAACTACTTTGTTTTACAGGTGAGGAAACTGATGCTCAAAAAGGGAGGCAGAGCTGGGGCTGGAGCCCAGATCTCCTGATTCAAGTGCAAAGCTCCTTCCAGAGGCTTCTGTTTCCTTCTTCCTGGCGCACCACAATGCACCACTTCAAATGTGAAGGGGGAGGGGAGAGGGCATCCTCTTGGATCTTAGCCACCCCCAAGGGAGTAAGACTGGGAGGCAGCAAGGAGATGTTTGAGAAGTACCCACATCTGGACAACCTCAGCTGGCAGGCACTGCATGGCCAGACCAGTTGTTAAGATAGTAAAATGTTCCTGCACTGGACGGTCATGCTGCCCTGAGGCCCCTGTGGCTTCCCTGGTCCCTCCCCCAGGTCCCCCCAAACCTTCCCATAGTCCAGAAACTAAAGGGTTAACAGCACAGCATGGGGACCTTCCCCCGCAGACCTCCCAAATTGGACCCATAGTCCGTTCTGGTCAGTTAGTGCCAGGGTTCAAGATTTTAAACACCACCTCTGGCCAGATCTGTGGCTCTTCGCTTGAACATTTACAGCTTCCCAGGGAGGAAACCAAGGCAAACTTTCTCCTCAAGGTCACCTAGCAAGGGAAACCAGGAAGAGAAAGCAGGGATTTAGAGGACCAAATCCTTGGCACTAACCACCGAGCAACCGTCCCCTCTGCCTCACAAGTTCCGCCTGAGCAGGCACACGCCCCAGGATCTCAGCATTCCCGTTTGGCCCTGGGGCTGGAGAGAATGACTAAGTGCACCCTGCTTATATTCAGCCCCTTGCCAGTGTCTGGGGCTGATGCTTCACTCCTCCCACCTCCAAGAACAAGAATCTAAAGCGGAAATCCTTGGGGGAACAGAAGGCTGAAGTGGCCCCAGAGATAATAGCAAAGATGCTAAAAATAAGAACATTCATTTCCAAAAAGGTGGATGCAATCAGTGTGGAAAGCAAAGAGAAATCCCCTTTTGATGGGTCTCAGATTAGCAGCAAAGACATTTTAAAATTAACTGTGGCTTTTGGATTCTGTTACAAGGGACCTCCACTTCCTACTCACTAACAGGTTGGTGCAGGCTCACCCACCAGGACCTCAGTCAGAAGAAGAAACGGGCACAGGGGGATGTCTGCCCTGAAACAGATCTGAAGCGGGAGCCTGGAGCCCTTCCCCAGAATCTGAACAAATCCTATCCCACTCCTTCCCTACCCTGAGACAGGTTCAAGAATGGAGTCACCCGAGTTGGTGCCAGGATGTACCCCCCATACACACACTTGCAGGTTACACCACCTGTGAAAATAAAACATCATCTACTCAGCAGGCAGATGGCTGCTCCCCTCTGACCTCCCTGACCACTCATTCCACGCAAAATATGGCCCTTTCATGGTCCCCAGGCCCCCCATCTCAGGAAAGCTACAACCGCCAAGCTTGCAAAAACCAGCACAACTACATTACTCAGCTGTCCCTGGAAGATGGTACAATCTGAGCCCTGTCTTGTACCAGCTTCACCCTGTGTGCGCAGGCAAGGGTTAATCTTTGAGCCTCAGGTGACCCTCTCCCATCTAGGGCCAAGGGGCTTACCCACAAGATCAGAACACCCAGAGACCCTCCATGCCAGCCTGGCCAACCCCAGGAAGGGTTAATTCACTCAGAGAACTGCTGGTTACTTTCAACGGCTTCTGTGGCAGGGGAGAGGGCAAACTGGGCAGAAATCACAATTTTGATTACATTGCCTAAAACACGAGCACATTTTACCCCCTCCCTGGGCACTGAGCCAGAATCTCATTTGGCTTTGGGGTACCGCTTAGGCGAGAAAAGACTGCAGAATGTGGGCAAATAAACGTGGTCATTCCTCAACACCTCTCCCCTCCCAAGCACCTTCTACCCCACCAGCTCATGAACACACCTCATTGCAACTGGGATTCCAATACCCCGAGCCCATTTGCACAACCAAGAAGAATATCCCTTACCGCAACACCAGAGGACTGAAGGGGGAATGGGTGATCCAAATTCTTGCCAACTCCTCTCTTCCCTGCCGGGTGGGAAGATCCTAAGTCCTGATGACTTTGTTTGAAAGCTCAGCAGAGGTGCCTGAAAGAAAATTGTTCATTTGACTCTCCTACTCCTCCCAAAATAAAATCAAGGCTCCAACATGCATGTGTGCGCGCGCGCACGCACACACACACACACACACACACACACACACACACACATACACACACACTACCCCTAAATCATGCAGGACCAAGACAAATAGAAATACCACTGCCAGAACTCAGACCAGTCAGTGGATAAGGCAGACGGTGCTCCCGCAGACTGCCCTCCACATGGATGAAGGTTTTCGCTCTGTTAGCCTCTCCCTCTCTCTCTCTGCCGTCCGCATAGGCAACTCTAGGCTGCTAGCAGTAGACGAATCAATTGCTTCCCCAGTGCCCTAATCGGCAGTGGCGGCTGCCGCCACTGCTGCAAAACCCTGTGTGAGCAAGGAGGGGGAGCAGCAGCTTCACGGCGCAGGGGAATCAAGCCTGCCTCCCACCCGTGATTTATGTGTGAGGTTCCTGGAGAAAGCGAGGTGGGAGGCCAGGAGGGGAGGCTGGGCACACCAGAGATCCCAGCTGGTTGAAATGGCTTGCTGTCAAGGATTGGTGGTCAGCACTGTGGACAGCGCTAAGATGCGGCGGAGGAGGGGATGGGCGGGAAGTGAACCCCAGGAGGAGAAGTTAACTTATTGGATGGGTAGAGCAGAGAAGGGGGAGTCCAGAGAGGTGGAGGACAGGACTTCTTGGCATCACACAGCGAAGTCAGAAACAGCCTACCTACCACACACTTGTTCTAATCTTGTCGCTCACTCCCAGAGCAAAGAAGCTATAACTTCCGCTGCCCCTCTCCCACACACCCCCCCAGACCTGCACTGCTCTTCTCTGCCAAGAGTTTGACCCCGGTGCGTGGGCCTTCAAGCATCCCCCCTCCCAAAGCTCACCCCGAATGATCTGCCCTCACCCACACTGCTGCAGGTTTTTGACCTGTGCCTTAGGTGCCTGGGAATTCAGAGCAGGAAAGATGGAGCTCGGAAAACTGAAATTTGTAAGAGGAAGGATAGCTTAGTTGAAGAGGCACTTGACAAGCTGCTGGGATCCAGATATATCAGCCCATACAACTTCGGAAAAGTCATTTAATGTCTCCAAGATCCATCTGTAAAATGAGGATAACACTATCGTAATTTCCTAAAGACAGGACGCAAGGGTTTAACAAGCAAATTTAAGAACACCCAAGTCGTGGGCTGTTATGACTCCATGAGCTATAACCTGTCCTACCATTCAAATGCTTGGACAGAGGAATAAAGGAATTGACAGCCAACCCAGGAGGGCGCTCACCAATCTTACCCTTCGGCATGTGTCTTGAGCAGGATGCAGCTGGGAAATTTTTTAGGTGGTATAAATCAGACAAATGAGCCTTGGCCAAAGATTCATCCTGAAAAATCCAGACAAGCCTTCTGAAACAAAATCTTGGATGTAGAAATAAAATCATTAAGAGGAGAAACAAACAAAGAGGAAGTGTTTCCACAGCTTTCAGTGTTCCAGATCTCAAGGGTCCTATTCCTGTTCACTGTGGGAAAGGGCTTGTGTTGGAGAAAGGACAGTAAATACCAAACAGACTAAGATCTTTTCTAACTTCTCTGCAAAGTGAAGGAGAGCTCTCTCTACTGGAAATTCTCATATAAAGTGTCCCCACCCAGATGGTCCAGGATAAGCAACCACATTTGTCAATTCCCCCCCTGAAAGCTATGACTTAAAATGTCAGGATCTTAGAGACCATTTAGGCCTTCATTTTTTACATGATGACGATGATGATGATGAAAGTGATGGTCTTGATGGTAATGGTGATAATGGTGGTGACGGTGTTGATAATGATTCTGGTGATGATGAAGGTGGTTGTGACCATGATGGCATTGGTGGTGATGATTCTGGTGATGGTGCTGATAATGATTATGGTGATGATGAAGGTGGTGGTGATGATTCTGGTGATGGTGTTGATAATGATTATGGTGATGATGAAGGCGGTGGTGATGATTCTGGTGATGGTGTTGATAATGATTACGGTGATGATGAAGGTGGTGATGATCGTGATGGCGGTGGTGGTGATGATGACGGCAGTGGTCGTGATATTGATGGTGTTGACGGTGATTGTGATGATGGCAGTTTTCATGTATTGAGAATCTATTATGTGCCAGTCATTCTGCTAAGAACTTTGTATGCATCATCTCCTTGAATCCTCTCTACGATCCTCTGAGGGTACTACTGTCATCCTCGTTACAGACGAAGAAACTGATACTCAAGAAACTAAGTTCCTTGCTCAAGGTTACCTAGTACGTAGCAGAGAGAGAATTCAAACCCAGGGCTGTATTATTTCAAAGCCTATGCTTCAGAATGTCTATCAGAGTGAAGTTAAGATGCACTGGAATTTGCGTGGGGGCAAGAAATCACTGACTTTTTCTGGGAAGACCTGATGGTACAAGTTGAGTCCCCTCACTTTACAGATGGAGAAACTGAGGACCAGAGAGGGGCAGTGACTTGCCCATAGTCAAAGGCCTAGCAAGTTGCAGAGTTGAGTCTGGAACTCAGGACTTTCAGATGCCATTCCTATATTCTAATGCCTAGAACACTGCCAGGTATATAACAGGCCCTCAGTAAACATGTGGGAAATGATTAGAAGCCTAGAGAGGGACTAAAGTCACATGGAATGCTGCTGGTAGAATAAGAATCAATGTAACTGTCAAGCCTCTTGGCTCCCATTCCCAAGGAATTTCCACCACACCTAAAAGCTTCCCTGGCCATTAAGCACATGTTCTAGGAGGGACTATTATGATTCAGTTCTCCACTGGGGAATGAAATCAGCTACCACCCACTAAATGCCTAGACACCTACCATGTGTCAGGCTTATAATAAGCACTTTACAGTTATTATCTCTAGTCTCCAAAACTGTGTGAGGAAAGTGCTATTACTGCCCCATTTTTAGATGAGAAGACTGAGGCTCAGCCAGGTGAAATGAAGTCCCCAACCTCACACAACCAGAAAGAGGCAGAGGCAGGGAAGCAAACCCCGGAGCCTGTGTTTTCACCACCCTGTCACTTTTTCTCAAACTGGGCACCCCAAAGGACCCTCTGGGAGTGAAAGGGAGGGCTGAGTTGACCCCCACCCTGGTTTCCAGTAGAGCAGTTGCACTTTTAACTGATTTGCATACTGGGCATGTGCTCAAGCCTTCACTGAAGAAAGGCCTTTGCAGCAAAATTTAAAAACAGTAAGAGCTGAAACCAGACCTCCGTAGCCCCCTGGTGACCAGCCATCTAGGGATTAGCCTCACCTTCTCAAAAGAACTTGCCCCACATCCTCCGCCTCCCTGGTCACCATCTCCAAACCCCTCCCTCTGTCCTGAGAGCCCCTGGAAAGGACTCTGCTCAGGGAACCAGCTGCTGCTGTAAGCTCGGGCAGCCTCATGGCACTGCAGCAAGGAGATGCCTCAAACCCAGACTCCCCAAGGCTGAACCTGGCCAGGCCCTGATTCTCTCGGAGGCCTCGTTACAAGATAGAGCGCTGCAAAGAGATTTCTCAGGGCCCTGGCTTCAGTGAGCTGCGCTGTCCTGCCCTTGCTCTGTTGAGGCCACACACAGGTGGCCTGTTACAATTCTCCGTCATCCCCAGGAAGAGCAGGATGATGATGAGGGTGATAACTACAACAAAAACTGCCCACTGTGTCCCGGGAGATTCATGTGCACCATGTTATTATTTTATCCTCACAACCAGCCAGTATGTTAAGATGGTAACAGTTTTATTTCCACTGGTCAAATGAGAAAACTGAGGCTCAGATGCCTAGATCCACCAGCCTGAAGCTAGTTCATAAGTGGTGGGATTGCGATTTGAACCAAGACCTTCTGAACTTGTAACCACTGTGCTATATGGCATCTCCCTCACTACAACAGTCACTCTCATTTAATTTTAGTGCCTATTATTGACCAGAAAAGGAACCCTGATGGTGCAGTGGTCAAGCGCTCAGCTGCTAACCAAAAGGTTGGTGGTTTGAACCCACCAGTCTCTCCGTGGAAGAAAGATGCAGCAATCTGCTTCCATAAAGATTACAGCCTTGGAAAACCTATGGGGCAGTTCTACTCTGTCTTACAGGGTTGCTATGAATCAGAATCAACTCGATGGCCACGGGTTTGGTGTTTTTGGTTTATTATTCACCAGGTGCCATGTTTTATCACCCCAGTGTCATTAATGACTTACAACAGTGCTATAAAGTTGTGTGATGTTATTTACCCATCTTACCAAAAAAAAAAAAAAAAAAAAAAAAAAAACCCGCTGCCGTCGAACTGTCAAGTCAATTCCAACTCATAGTGGCCTTATAGGACAGAGTAGAACTGCCCCATAGGGTTTCCAAGGAGCAGCTGGTGGATTTGAACTGCAAAGGTTTTGGTTAGCAGCCATAGTTCTTAATCACTACATCACCCGGGCACCTTACCTGTCTCAGAAATGGGTAAATTAGACAAGGAGAGGACTAGTGACTTAGCAAAGGTAACACAGTGAGAAAGGAGGGTGCAGGTTGTGAATCCAAATGGCTTGTCTCAGGGCTCCCTGTGCACTACTGTCTCCCAGGGAGATGGGTGCTGAGATAGCCCAGAAGGAAAGAATGTTCCTGTTTCATTCAGCAAGTGTGGTAAACAGAATGATAACCCCTAGAGATGTTCCTGTCCTAATCCCCAGAACCTGTGAATACATTACCTTAGATAGTGTAAGGAACTTCGCAGATGTGATTAAGTCAAGGACCTCAGGATCAGAAGATTATCTTGGATTACCTGAGTGGGCCCAGTGTAATCACAAAGGTCCTTAGAAGGGAAAGAGGGAAGCAGAAGGGTCAGGCTAATGAGAGAAAGATGTGACAATGGAAAAATAGGGGAAAGAAAATAGAGACAGAGAGATTTGAAGATGTTACACTATTGGCCTTGAAGATGGAGGAAGGGGCCACAAGCCAAAGAATGCAGGAGGCCTCTGTGTCAATGTACGCCTCGGGTCGATCCCGACTCCTAGCGACCTATA